TGTTGTTAAAATATTTGAATCCCACCACTGCACATTATTTCAATATTTATATTTATAATCTGAATTTTTTGTTTATATTTTCAAACAATGTTAGCTATTAACTCACACAAATGAAGTGGAAACATAATATGTTTGAATATTGCATGCTAGTTTTATTTTTATTTTGAGTCTCATTTCAACTACACTAGTGTGGAACATAATGCTACTAATTTACTTTTGATAAAATAGAAAGGGACTTTCTGTTTACTTAAAAGTTATAGCATTTTAATGTTGTCAGGTAAGAATAATTGTATAAAAACTAATCAAACATGTTTAAGGTATAGTTTACAAAATTGAAAAGTGGTATAAAAGTGTAATGCATGTTGACCAAATAACCTTTGCTAATGATATAAAAGTACTTAAGTCATTTTGCACAAGCAATGTAGTATTAACTGGTACTTGTGACTGTATCTGAGACCAAAAAATAAAGGTCAATTATACTTTTGGTGAATGAAGGGAAATATATGATATGCTGAAAAGGTATCAGAATTAAATAAAACTCTTAACTTTGCAGCTTCAACAAGCGAGGATATGTTGACAACATCTCATCTATCTTTTTTGTATGCTGATTCCCTTGTGGCTTTTGATGTATGTAACTTTCACTATTCTGTACATACTAATTAAATGTAAATTATTTTCATAAAATGTGCTTCTTGAATAAATAATGAACTTTTTCATTTTCATAAAACATTTTTAAGATTAACAATTATTCAATTTTGTATATTATGAAATCCATTTGAAAGCATAAAATTATGTACTCAAAATATAATAATTTTTACTTACAGAAGCTCATATGGTAGTATAACATATTTAATTGTGAAGGGCATAAAATTTACCAAATTTAAAAGCTAATTTTCTGTGATAAAATTTTTATTTATGCTTTGTATATGCTTGACAATGACTTATGAAAGCTTAACCCTTCATAATCTTTGTAATAAGACTTTTTATACTTATAAAGAGGTCTGAGGTTCGATTACCCATAGCGGACACATCAGATAGCTTAAAGTGGCTTTGCTCTAAAACAAACAACAACAATTTATAAATAGTATGAAGGGTTTTCTGTGTTAAGGAGTTCAATGTATTTAGCTCTACCTCAAAGATTCAAATCTTTTTTATAAAACTGCTTTTGAAAACTTTTTTTTCCATACACATAAGCAAAAGCCCCAGAATAATGTAAGTGAGATGTTTGGTTTATATAAAGTTATTCCTAGTATGAATGTAAGAAACTTATGTGTATGTACACACACACTGTAGATGAAATTGCTACATCGTAAGTATACAGAGTGAGTTTGACAGGTTTAAGTCCATATCTTTAGTGATCTTCCAATTAGATGTGGGAATTTAATTTGAAATTTTAAGTGAGTAAATTGCATGCTAATTTGCAGGTATAAAGTCTTTTAAGCAACCTTTGTAGAACTTTGCCAGAAAAACGTGCTATGCACTTTGGGGCTGTGGGTATGCTATATGAGTGATGATCATATCCCAGTGTATGGTCAGACCAAAGTAGTTGAAGCACTGGAAGTGAATGTTGTTGACTAGCTGCCTTCCCTGTAGTCTATTAGTTCACCGTTAGGTATGCGTAGATAGCCCTTTGTGTAGTTTATGCAAAAATTCAAAAATAAAGCTGTTCAGCCCCTAATGAGTTGTGAGAAGCATAAAGAAAAATGTATTTTTTTCAAAACTGTAAAACAGTTTTCATGAAACTAAATATTAGTGTTAAACCCTATATTGTGACATTTAAAATTTTCAAACTCAACAATTTAGTCATAAATTAGGTCAGAGGAATAAAGATGCTTACTGACAAAACAAAAACACACTTCACTGTGACAATTGTTGAATAAAATACTATTTTAAACAACTTTTCAAACGAAAACATTGCATATATTTATTTTTAAATAAAACATTTCATTTGGTTATTTATGAATTTTATGTAACAGATAATTGTAGTAAAACACTTATTGTGCTGAATTAAGGTGCTGACTGTGGTTTAGAATATTAATACTCTTCAGAACTTTAATTTTTTCTTTTCTCTTTCAGATATTTATGCAGAATTGAATATTTTTATACATATGTTAATTATTGTTTATTCATATTGAAGGATGCTGGTTTTTTGGTGATGGCAGATCTAACTTTGGAAACTAAACCCTGTATTAGTTCCAATAAATTTTCATATCTCATAGGTATGAAAAAAATTATTTAATTCTGAACATATTTTACTAGAAAGTATAAAATATTAATAGGTGAATACACAGTACCATTTAAAGTAATTTAGAATAAAGTTTAACTCTACACTAACAGAACAATAGTAAAAATAAATGAAAACTGGTTTGACATCTCACCTATCCTCTTCAGTCGAATATTGGACTGAAGAAGGCATGTGAAATGTTGAAAATATTTACACTTAAATTTGATATTGTTCTGTTGGTGTGGATTTAAACTTTATATAAAATAACATATGATATATTCTCTTTATCATAAACATGTATGAAAATGAAATATGATAGTAGAAAACAGACTGGTGTATTATAACTATAGATATACTTTATATTGGATATTGTATAAAGCTCTTTATTTTTTGTCTCCATAAGTTAATTAATCCTGGAATATATGTAGATGTATCTCTTGTCACACTAAAATTCTTTTATAGTTATTTATGCTGACAAAATATTTTCAAACATTTTTAAATATTTTTACAATTTTTTAATTCATAAATTTTAACTGCTTTTTTATGTTAATTATTTTTAAATTTCTATGCATGATGGAAAATTTAACACACTGTTATAAATTTAAACTATTGCAGGTAAAAGAAATAGCTATTACAATGGTCATAAGTCAGCTATGGAAAGCCTAAATACACGTTTTTTCAAAACTCTTTTATGGGATTTGGTACAAGTAAAGTAAGTAATTTGTTAAAATGTTTCTAAATTATCAGTAATAGAAAAAATAATTTTAAAGAAATTATTTTTTTTTTTCATGGGAGTGGCTATATTGTTTTTTAAATGTATAAAAATGTAGGTTTTTCTAAATTAAAGTTGGTTAACTATACTAAAGGGCATATATCAAGTTATAAAAACATAAATTTGTAATTTTTCATTCTGTATATCTATCTTTTTATAACTGTGTTAAGGCCGTATTTGTAGATCTATGAGCATGTCTGTTCTAAAACTTCTCAGGGTCAGTTAACTAGAAGTGTTGATTATAAAAAAAAATTAAGAACATATTCACATATGCTTATCATTCATAAAGTGTCATGTTCTCAGAGAAAATACATTTGTTGTGGTATTGGTTATAAAAATTTCGTCTTGTATAGTGGGAAAACTGAAATTCAACACAATGTTCCTAAAGAAACAACTAAGTGGAGTGCAAATGCTATCTGTTTGAGTGATATCTCTGGCATTGGAATCAGTGAATTAGTCAGTGCTGAAGTTCATAAACCATTTTATCTGGGCCTTACTACTCCATACTCCATAGTTAGTGGTGAAAGTGTAGAGCTGAAATCTTTCGTGTACAATTACTTGCCTGATTGCCTTCCTGTAAGTTATAATTCTGTTTATGAAATTTAGTTGTAGCTGTATATTTTCCAATTTCCTTTTATTAATAACCAGTTAATAAATATCTTGACAAATAATGCAAGACAGAAAAGGCAAGTACTTTGAAATAAATTTTGTTGTTAGTCTTATTGAATTCTACTTCAGACCAAAGAAATCAAATGTAAGTTTATCGTATCAGAATTTGTAGTGTATATTGGAAAGATTGACAAATTTTTATAATAAAATTATAAAAATATGACCTTTATACTCAAGATAATTATAAGAAAACTTATTTTAACTGATATTTTGCCTTTGCAGCTTCTTCAGGGTTAGTACATAAAACTGCTTGATAATACAGTATATGATAAATTATAAGCCTGTTTATGATGTTATATTTCCCAAGTTTGCTGTAACATGCTTCTAACAATGTACAGAATACTATTATTGTTTCAATATTGTTCTAATATTATAGTCTTATTATGATACTAGCTGTATAGCTATACTAACATTTTGATATATATTACTTATGTGCAATATAAAGATATAGAGAATTAAAAAATGTATTATGATTAATACAAGACAAACAGATGGAAAATAGAAGCTGCTAAGAATAAAAATTAAAGTTGAAAGGATACAAAGTTCACTAAATGTGTTAAGCAAATGTAAGACTGTGTGATACACCAGATAAGCAAGTGTTAAAACTAAAAGTAATAGTGTCAAGTGTACTTATATGACATCAGTTAAAAGTTCTCGTATAAATATCTGTTGTGTATATGTTTTTTTTTCTAATTTTATCATCTCAGTTTTATAATTTTAAGTTATGTCCTCTCTGTTATGACTCTACACATTAATTATTATATGAACCAATATATTGGAATGGAGACACTATTAAAATTTGTAATGAAAAATACCTGTTGTAAAAAAAACAATTTACTCTCCACAATGATTGTTTTATAGAAATAATTAGGAACTGTCTTACTGGAAAAGTGTTTGGAATATTAACTTTTAATACACTGTTTTTTTATAGCCTTTTAACTAATTACAAAAAAAGCTTAATTATACTCTCTATTAGTAAGTGCCAATGTCTTTATTTTTTAAGTATTAGAATAATTAAACTGATACATTTGGTTTGCATGAATACATAATTACTATTAGAACCAAATTAAAATTGTTCTGGTGAATTTACTCAAACTAAACATTTAAAATACTTACCTGTTCTCATACCATCTTAAAGTTTATAACAGTTTGTTCTTGGAATGATAATATATAATGTCTTTTTTGTTTTAATTGACAGGAATAAACTTCATTCTTATACAGAAATAGCCCATGTATAAACGTTAGTTTTGTGTGCAATGTTACCGATTCTTCTTCATTAATGGAAATTATTTGAATTGGCCCGAAACAGTCAGGATGAATGAATTTAGAAAAATGTATTATTGAAGGAACTGTAAGAGCTTTTGAAAATTAGTGTTTTATTTGATATAAAATGTGATTTAGATTAATTTGCAGTTTTTTCTGATGGTTGGAATATTCGAATGAAGTATTGTTTTAGAATTGTTATTGGAATTCAATCCCATTTATCTGAATACCTCCACCATATAAAACTAATCAAGCTGTAACATTTCAGTTTTATCAGATATACATATCTAATGTAGTATTTCTAAATGGTACCATTTTTTTCTAATTTAGTTAACATTGGCATTGACATCAGAATATTCTGAGCAGTTGAAGGCACAAGGCAAAACTACACAGTCTATTTGTGTTTGTGGTAATGAAAGTAAGACAGTCAACTTCAAAGTCAAAGGCCAAACCCCAGGAAAAGCCATTGTATCTGTGAAAGCATCATCTAACAAAGATAAAAGTCAGTGTGACAAAACACCAGTGTCTGACAAACATTTTGAAGACATAGTTTCAAGGAATATTCAAATTGAAGTATATATGAGATTTTAAGTAATAATTACAATTTATCAACTTTATTATTTTATACTGTACATATATAATTTTGAACAATATCTATAAGTTGCTATAAATAACAATGTAGTTTACAAACACATCATCATAGTAGTATTTGTATGAGAAATATGCATTTTCAGCTACTGTTCTCATTATATTATTGTGATTATCATATTTATCATAATAATTTGGAACTTAGGCAGAAAAAGAGGGAAGATTCAATATCCCAGTGGACACTGATTTCCCATATTTAAGATTGACCATTCTAAACTTTGTAAGTAAAGAAACTCAAAGACACCCGTGTATCTAGAAGTCATTTATTTTGTGGTTTTATTATAAACAGTTGTGAGTCTGGATTAAAAATACAGCATGACATTTAAAAAGCTGTCCTTAACAATACACCTGATGCTGTCATCACCTGTTTCTGCCATATGACAACTGTTCATGGATGTATTGTATGCAGTGATTTGGATGATGACGCATTAATGTTTTTTGTATTACTTCAAGAGTAAAGGGAAACAAGTTAGGTTATTTACTGACATCACAAAGACAGGAGACATAGAAAATCCAAAGTAAACTGTTTTTTTTTGTACTTTTTATACACAATATAGGTAATATTTCATGCTGACAAACTGTTGATGTAACTATACATATTTGTTTTAGATCAGTGCATCATGAGTGGTATTTAAACTTCCACTAAATAGTCCATCATTAGTCTTTTAATAGTCTAGCAAACATTCCACTATAGATATCTTTTTAAACTTGAATATATCTCCAGGCCTGAAGTAAAACAAAATTCAAACAACACATAGAATTTTTACTGATAAATACAAACTTATATAGGTTTTCAAATATTATTTCAAGTTGCTTGCTTAATTACATATAACGTTTACTTATAACAACTAATTAAATTTGAAGTATAATATATTTTATGATCATATGACAATGTTCTCAGTTACCACATGGAAAATCTATTCCATATAAAATCTAAAGTACTAAAGCAAAATATTTTCAACATACTATAAAGACATGATTTTGATTTCTAATTTAATTTCAAATTGTACAAGCAAATGTCTTGCTGATTGATATTTATTGTCATTGCTTTAACATAAACATTTTCTAGAATATCTATTGTTTCATGGCATAACTGTGAATGTGGTCATGCAGTCATTTAAAATTCATAAATATATACATATATAAATATACGTTTATTTATTTTTCATTTTCTCTAAATTGTTTTCCACCACCGAGTTGGAACATTTTGTAAATGCAACAAGCTATGTGGTGCACATGTTAATGAATAAACATTATTGTTTTGGCTCACATTTCTTAAAATGAAAGATCATGATAGAAGTTAGTTCAGGTTATGAAATGATTCATTTTATTGTTGCTAAAACATAAAACTTACTTGATGCATCTCTCTACTTTTTGCAAGCGAAGATTACCATAATATTTTGGAGCGAAAGTAATAATTTTGTATTTCACGATAATGGTTTTTTGCCCATAACAGTGTTCAGTATATATGTTTGGAATAAATTTCAACTTAAAATGAGTACATGACATCTAAATAAGAATTTTACTTGTGTGGAATAAATTTCAAATTAAATGAATACATAATATCTAAATAAGAATTTTATTCAAATGTAACATATTGTTTTGTTTTTATTCTCTTCCATTTGATTTTGCTTTTCTACTATTTGAGTGACTATGTAAACAAATATAATTTACGTTTTTATCTTAGACTAATGTCGAATCTTTTGCCATTGATAAACCTGTACCTAGCTTCAATGTTAAAATTTCTGGTGTTGACACTGGTTTAGGGCAATGTGAAAAACGTCATTTGAAACTGTGTTTAAGGTTAGTAATTTAATCTAAATTCTAAAATATATTGTATTGCATTTTAATACTTAAGTATTTCAACTATATAAAAAGTACTGGGATGTGTTGGTATATATTTTTATCAATTCTTAACATAGTTTTGTAAATTTGTATATTGGTATTTGTTGCAATTAGGTTTACTTTCATGTACAATTTACATTGTGAAAATTACAGGTTTTTTGTTTTAAATATATATTGGTGAAGACATTCTCTTATAACACTTAGGCACACTTCAGAAGTGTGACTTAAAAGCAGTGAATTAACACTCAAAGATACTTTTAAATATTAATAGAACAGTAAGACAATGTGATTATCAGGATGCCAATGGATGGTTTAAATCCAGAATAAATACTGTTTCTTATCTTTAAGAAAATGCAGAAAAACACTATACAACTAAAAACTGTCTTTAAAGTTATTTCACTTAAATCTAGATATATGATACAGATAATACACTAACATTGTTTAAAGTATACAATTTCTTGGTAGCTTCTGTAAAAACTACATCATTGAGGGGTGATTCAATATCATGCTATGATTTTTTCATGCATTTCTGAATATTTGATTCATATTTTGAATTAATATTCCTAGAAGTATACCTATTATGTTTATTGTTTTCAAAACTAAATTTGGTTTTGCAATATAATATTTAACTTTTATTAAAATATAAATTCAGTCATAATAACTTCTCTATGTATTTATTTATGTATGATTGATCACAGTTTTGTTCGCTGTAAAAGCATGATTAATATATTTTATGTTAAGTTTTTTTACAAACAATATTTAACTTTTCCATGCCTCTCTTATATAATTTCAAAAGTTATTTGTTAGCAACAGAACAGTTGCACATTTTGTGTGTTGGCTTGATTAGCATCACCCATTACAAATTTGTAAACTAAATAAATAGCTTATGAATTTGTAAAGTTTACATTATTTTCAATAAATAAACTGCACATCTTTCTTGGAAACTGGAAGCAACATAGAATAACAGTAATTTAACTCTAGGTTTTCAGAAATTTTTTCCCTCCGTAAAAACCAATATTAAGCTAAGAATCAAAATGTCAAAAATAGAAAAAATTTAACTGGTTTGTTTTCAAAACATTTTTATACTAATAAACATGAATTGTACTGCTATTCTAAGTAGTTTACTGCTTTTTTTATTGTAGATAAGATTTGTATTACACATGTAGCTTAAGATAAATAATGCAATTAAATATTTTTAGAGGTCTTAATGCTTTTCATTTCATTGAAAATGTATGCTGATAATTGATTAAATACATATTTTTAGCCATACAAATATCACTGCTTCTCCGTCTATGGTTGTGGTTGATATCAAGATGCCTTCAGGATTTGTTTCTGACTACAAGAGTTTAAATGAGGTATTTTCTAAATGAACCTTTGAATGGATCATTATTATAATTGGTTTTTATTTAAATACACCTAAATGCAATCACCTTTTACCTTCTTGTATGATAATTAAGTTGATGAATTGTGTAATGTTTTGGGATATGCTCATTTATACTTGAGAGATTAATAAAAAGTAATATTATAAGGGTAAAAATAACAGTCAAACTTGCTTACTATTATAAAATTAAATAAAATTTTTCACAGTATAGAACTTTATTAGGCCTAATGATACTTAGAATTTTATTACACAGTTCTCTGAAAATTACCAAGTGAGGGGGTGAGATGTCCTCTCCCATATTTCACTAAATACTTAAGATATTTTTATTGTAAGACTAACAGTGACTGTAGCATATTAGATATTTTTTATTATTTTCCTCTGTATCATAAAACATGAGCTCTCAACAGCAATATAGTTTTTCTTGTAATCTGAGATAAAGTATGTATAACCTAAGTCTATTTAAAATTGAGACTAAATTTGAATTTCCAGTTTTCTACTTTTTGTATGGAAGGCGCTATAGACCATAGAAGTTACCTTTCTAAAGTTTAAAACAACTTTGCATTAATTAATTCAGAATACAATAACAGCAACTGTTACAATAGACGAGCTCGTATTTTAATAATTACAATATTTTGGCCCATAGTATTGAGTCATCGTCATCAGGTAAGCATTACATTGAAAAAAAGTGATCATCAACAAGATTGTAGGTTGCTCACTTACAACTAACTTTGCACCAAGTTTGCACACAGGTTTATTTTTATATTTCCATTCTTTTCACTCCTTTCCATATGGATATTATGTATGTGACACAATTTATAAGACATACAGGTGACATTGATATTAAAAAACTCTTTCCAATTTACACTCAAAAGACATAAAAAGGGCTCTGTAAAAATATGATTTTTAGTTCTTCATATTGAAAACTATGTAACAAGTACTTGAGCATACATTTTCTCACTGATTTTTTATTGTAGTTGTAGATTTTGTGCTTTCAAGTATCCAATTATGAACACATTATTAATGTGTATCTCTAAGCAAGCATTTTGCCTCTTACACAAATGACAACCAAGAAAACATATTTACAAGTGATCATATGCTTTTCATGACCAAATAGTTTCCGATACAATACCTTATCTCCTTTCACGTAATAGCTTTTCTCATTAAATACTGCCCTCTATATGCACAATATTTTCATGACACTAGCCTCAGTACTTCCACTTACTCTCACATGTTTACACCTGATACAAGTGCAGTGTAGCATTCAATTAAGCATGTGACAACCCTCCACCTATAGGAGAGTGACACACCCTCCTAGTGCAGCTGATATATGCTGATCAGTTTTCAGGACAATTTAGTCCTGGGGTTGGCATAGCTCTTTTCCTCAGTACTTTGGATTCCTATGCATTAGCATATCATCATTAGGATTTTCATTTTTTGGACTTAAAGTATTTGATTCAAGTGTGGGGATCTGTCTCTGAAACCACTTTGAGATCTTCCCAGGCCCATATTTCCCATCTTCGTTTCACCCTCACCACCCTGCCTCATTATTTCTCCTCCATCCACCTCCTGTCTGGGCTATCCACTGTTCACCTAAGGGTTTTTCTGAGGATACTTTCTCCCTCGTGTATTCCACGTTGGCACTTTTGTCTTCCTTGACTTATTCCATGCAGACTTGGCTTCTTGGGTGTTGGGATCTCCTGGGTAGGGATGCACATTTTGTTTACAAGCACCTACCCATGTCTTATCTGTATGACCTTTGTATGACTCCATTTATATGCTGGTTTGAGATCTTCCTGACTCTTTGGAGTCCAGGGTAGAGGTTATTCATCAACACTCCTCCTTTATCATTAGTGGTCTCTTGTTTCATTTGCAACTTTCCCTTCTCCCATTCCTGTATCCCCCCTCCCCTTGTCTGTTCCTCTTTCCTAGGTCACAGTGTCTAGCCATCAAATTGCTCAGTGCTGGTTGTCCTGCCACCAATGGTATCGGTGACTCTATCATAGATTTTGGCAAAGTCTGAGCACGTTTGACCACATTTCACTTCTGATCATAGGGTGCTTCCAGTCTTATCCAAAGGATTTTCCTTCTATTTTCTAACTCCACCTCACTTATTCTCACATTCCATTCCCTTCCTTCATCCTTGGGATCCAGTTTTCTATCAGCATCTTTCTGAAGCAATTCTGGCTCTTCTTCACCAGGAAGCTATTGAACCAGTCAGTCACCCTTCTCTGGGGTTCTATTCCCAGTTGTTCGTAGTTCCTAAGAAGACTGGGGGCTGGCAACCTGTCATAGATTTTTCCATCTCAGCCTGGAGTCCTTCCTCACTCTTTGGTAGGTGTTTATTTACCCTGGGTCTTTGGATAACAAAGATGGACATTTCTGATGCTTACCTTCTCATCCCTTTTTCTCCATCATCCAGATGTTATCATTATTTTGTCCACAAAGGCTGAATTTCCCAATTCTGCACTCTTCTGTTTGGTCTGGATTATGCACACTACTTATTCTGTCAGGTGGTCAGGGCCTTTTCCCAATTTCTTCATTCTTATGGAATGCAGTTACATCATTATATGGTTCCATCCCTTCAAGAGGCAGCTCACATCAGTTAGCTACTCACATTAGAGAAATCCTTTCTCATCTGACCTCACACCTTATCCATTTTGGAGTGTGTTTCAACTACTATCTTAGTCAGTCCCAGCCTTCTCCTCTTTGGTTGAGATTGATGGAGCTATTATTTCTTAAATCTCAGTCCTCACCTTCTCTCACCGTACGAGAGGTTCTTTCTCTTTTGGAAACTTCTGTCTCCTCATCACAAATTGCATCTTTTTACAGATGCTTCTCTGACGAGTTGGGGAGCATTTATATATTCCAGAGAAATTGCAGGTTATTGGTCTCTGATAGAATCAGCTCTGCACATCAGTATTTTTCTTTTTGCTATTTGCCATTCAACATGCTTTGGATCATTCCCTCCCTTTCATATGAGGTAAATTGGTCATGATCTATTCCAACAATTTGGCTGTTGACTCTTACCAATCAACAAGGGGCATCTATTCTCGTTTATTTTTTTGAATGTTGGAACTCCTAATCTTGGCCCATTCACATCACACACACACACACACACCTACTAGCATGTCATGGCATGGGTGCTCTGAATCTTGTTGCAGATCGATTGTCCTGATAAGATTATCCTTACAGAGTGATCCCTAGATCATGAGGTGTTATGATGGTGGTGCACTTTGTGGGTTATTCCACTTCTGGGGGCATTTGCCACTCACCTCATTTCCAAACTACCTCTCTTTTGGTCCCTGGGTCCACATTCTTTGGATTTGGTAGTAGACACCTTCAGTCAGAATTGGTCCAATATTTACCTTTATGCCTAACCTACCATCTGTCTCTTTCTCCTGGTTTTATCCATTATCCAAACCTCTCCATGTTGAGTCCTTCTCATTGGACCTTTATTGCCTACTCAACTGTGGTTACAGTCCTTATACTACTTCAGTCATCACCTCCATTACCACATCCTCTTTCTAACTCTCTGCTATGGCAGCCTCAGTCATCCGTGTGTCATCCCACCATCATCACACTCCAGCTTCAAAAGTGACATTTGTCCAGGCTCTTGCAAGGGAGTCAAGACTCTCCACATGTGTTGATTCCTTTTTTTTTTTCATTCAGTCCATTCTTCATCCTTAATGGTTTATTAGAGAAAATGGTGTTGTTTTTGCCATTGGTCTCTGTTGTACCTTGGTTACCTCCCTCCCCATCCTAATGTTCCTCATATCTCATAATTCTTTACCTGGCTGTTTGACAATGATTCTTCTATGCTAGTTATTGGGCAGCCTTATCCAATACCTTCCATTTTTCCTATTATTGTATAGTTTTTTCCTCTCCTGTCCTCTCCCTTTTGTTTAGTTCCATTTGCTTTCTTTGTCCATTTCATTCTACATTCACATCTATTTCTCCTTCCATTTCCCATTTGCATTCCCACTCTGATCTGGATCATCATCTCTGTCATTTTTGTGCTCTCTGGTGCAATGTTGCTTGCATGGCTTCCTTCTGTGGTTCCCATTACCACTTTTTGCTCCATTGGAACCCATTCTCTACCCAAGACATTTATCCTGTCACCCTTATAGGTTGGATTCACTACCTTAATTGATTGGCTTATTCTTCCTTGTCTCCCAATTGCTGATGTATTTTACAGCTATCCTCTCATCAGATCTGGCTCCTCACTCTTTCTCTAGCTGCCTACTTCTGTCGCCCATGGAAGGAAATCATCCAGGCTGGCATGTCGACCACTCCACACACTGTCATCTCTCATTATCTTCATCATGTAGCCATCTCTTTGTCACTGGGATAATGAGTACTGTACATTGCCATCTTACACACCTCAGTTCAATTGTGAGTGGGTAAGTAATTTTTCTATTTCATTGTTACCATTACAGGGGCACATTTTTATTTCAGATCCCACTCTGTGGCAAGTGTTGCCTGTCTAGGTATACCAATCCATAAATCCACACTGTACAGTCTTTAAGGTCTAGAACACCCACTGTTGAGATGGAGTATTTCACAAGACTTCTAGAGGTTTTCTTGCAGTATTTTTCAAACCACAAATATGTCTGTCCCAGACCATACTAACTCATGAACTATCATGAGTAAAGCAGTGTTGGGATAGCTGCCCATCCCTCTGATCCTGGTTGAATAAATCGGGACTGGCCTGCTTTTAAAAATAGGGTTTCATGGTCACTCATTGTATTTTTTCCAGTGTTGTGTT